TGACTGCATCACCCCTCCTGACAACTATACCCCGCTCCCGACAACTCTACTACCACCAACACCACCACCGCCAACACCAACAACTACACCAAAACAACAACAACATCAACAAAACAACCCCGACTGCACCACCACCACCACCACCACCACCGATGACTGTCTCCCTTCTACGAAGAAGAGAACAGTCCTACTACCAATGATGAGAAAAAAAGGGGGTGGCGTGTTAAGTCCCAAGAGCAAGACTCAAAAAGACCATTATGTTATGAGAATAGTAAAGTTATTAATTGCTACCATCCTATCTGAATACTGAGGGCGATAAAGCATCTTATTGCTGTTGATTCTGATTGTTTCACACACAAGGGTCGAGATATGTAAATTTTCCTCATTTTCGGGAATGAAAAGTTACATGAAAATCTGCAATTTAGGGATTTACAATTAGGCAGGATAAGGTGGTATTTTAGAAGACTAAGATAAAGATAAAAACCTTTATAACACTAGATACAATTTTAAAAAGATTGCAAAGTTGTGAAGTTTTTTGCCTTTCATTGTGTATTTATATTTCTTTCGTAGCAAGTATTCAATGGAAATGTTTCAAGAGCTAGAGCCTCACCATCCAAGTCAAGAGGGCCAGGAGCCAATGGCTACTCCAAGTTCCCAGCTGACAGACATTATGCTTACAACTCGCGTGTGTCTTGCACCACAGTACGTTACATACCTGCTGGAGAAGAGCTGAGTGATGACTCTTATGGATGCTCACCGGATAGAGGCCAGAAACAGTTCACTTCGGATGGTAACTGGTTTTAATTTAAGTTATATTGTAAATCTTTACAATTTGTAATAGGCAAGTACAGTGAGAAGGTCTGATGTTGCTCCTATTTATGTTTTTTAAGACTCTGATGTTCAATCAGATATAAACATATTGAACGTAACAGAAATTGGTAATCGCATGATAGTGAAAGAAGAACCAAATACAAGTACAGTTATTGCAGGATATTCTGCTGGTTTTCTAAATGGCAATTCTTCATCTGCTGGTATTTCTAGCTGGACTGGAGGCGAGTTCAAATTAATTAATTAATTAATTTTTTTGATATCTTGCTGAATTTTCAGTGTTTGAGAAATATCTTCAATAATATTGAAGACCTTGTTTTTAACCTTTTACTAGCAAATTTTCTTGCTATTGTATGTTTGTTAGAGTGCAAACCAGTAGTAAGGTGTTCAATATTTCATTATTTACTCATCAGTTTATGTAAAGGAACAAATGTAAAGTAAGAATATTTTTTTGAACTAAAACAAACATGAAAAGATCAATAATTGTTTTAAATAGTCATACATTTACATTATTAGTGCACTTTTCAGTAAATTATAATTTATTAATTTGCTTTTTGCTAATAATTTATTTTTGTATTGTTTATTTTCATAGTATTTTTCAAATGCTGAGAATGCTGTTTTGCTGCTGTAGTGATGTATTTTCTGTTGTTACTGTCTCTTCCTCCCCCCTTTTCTTCATTTTCACCCTCTTCGTTTATTTCTGATCTTTTTCCAATGGAAAGCATCTTCACAGAAATTTGAACATTGTTTATTACTCCTTAACTAGAATGGAAGAAATTTTAATTTGTTAAACACAGTAATTATTTAAAATCCAGTTGTGTTTCATTGTATTGAAAAAAGTATAATGAAATGATGTGTATTATTACATGCATATGAAGTACATTTAGTTAAGAGCAATGAACAAGTGAGTATTTTGAACTTCATGTGAGTGTATAAATACCCATTGCATAGTTTCATAAAATCAATTTTCTATGATGAATGAAACCAACAGAGGTTGCAACTAGTTATCTTTTCTCCTTTTCTTGCACTTTGTGATATTAATTCAATGTATGATTCACTTGTATTCAGAAAATAGTTTGGGATTTATTCTGATATTATAACTTATGTATTCTTTGAAGATTGTTGTATGATTTTTGTATTTTGTAAACTTTTAATTTACATTCAGTATGTTTCTTTATTTTGATGTGTTTACATTTTTATTTTGTTCAAACAGACCATTACCGAACAGTTACTTTTACTGGTGATACATTGAGATGCACAGTATCTGGGACTCCACTGCCGGATACTGATTATGTTTCAGTGAATATAAATGATGTGGAAGATTCACACAACTACAGTAGTGTAGGTTTAAACATGTTTTGTTTCTTTTCTCAATCTAGAAAACTATTGGGATTGGTATAATTAGACCAATCAAGAATGAACTTAGGCTCAATGATTTGAAAATATAAAAAAAAATTTAGGTCTATATATGTTCAAAGTTTGTGTCCCGTTAATCCCAATTAGAGCATTTTAACACAAAATGACAAGCAAAAATGGTAAATATAAAGCAAGGTAAAAATAAAAAGGCACATGTTAAAAAATATCATGTTCATGACTTTCCAAAACTGTGTTAGAGATCAAAGTGGTCATTATATGCTTAAGATGTGTTAGAATTGTTTAATGTAGTGTGTGATAAAATCTCTATTGTTGAGTACAGAGACTTGGGGAAGTTTCAGACTTATCAGCCTGACGGTGTATAAAATGGAAGGTAATGAAGTGAATCAGTATGTATTAATAAAAGGATTATTTTGATAAAGATTGTGATAATATAACATAATGTATGCAATTGGTATTTGTATCAGTTTAATACAATTTCATAAAATCTATGCTTAGACTAAACTGTCATAAATGTCGTGATTAATAGTTTTGTACTGTTCCGTTTTTGTTTCAATTTGTCTGAATTATATCTGGTAGTTAGCGTGAATAAGCTTCATGTTTGTATTACTTACTGCACTAACATTCATGTGACAAATGTTAAAACTTCTCCTTTGCCTTTCTCTACAAATGCTCGTAATTGTAAAATATATGCTTCTGCAGTCTGCCATGATCTGCTAAAAATACCAAAGCAGTTCTCCATTTCACAAAGCAGATGTTAAGTGCTTGCATTCTGAAGGGAAGTTTTTGTTCATCCGGTAAATGCTGTTGGTCTCATTTTCTGCTTCACCTAGTTCTCGTTCTAAGTATGATACAAATGTTGCATTGCTGCCAGAATAGCTTTGCTGACAGTCAGAGCAATTCATTGTCTTGTGAGAGGTTCTTTTACAGTTCACTGTCTTGTTTGAGAACCTCTCCAGTAGCATCTCTGAGCAATTTTGGGCAAATGCATACAGTTGTAACATGTCATGTACCCAAGTGAATTGCTGTGTTGCATTTCTTATGGCCTGCTCTTCGGATGAAAATGTTAGAGCCGTTTTAGTAAACCTAGTGTTTCAAAGTATACAGAATTTATTGCAATCCTTAGTTAAAATAATTGTTGCTTGTTTGATTTACTGCTTTCTTTTTAGCTTACCTATACTTTTTTTGGAAGGAATAAAAATTTAGTGTATGACACAATTCAATTTAATCTAAATTATATTAATTACAAGATGAATATTGATATAATTTAATTTCAATTTTTTCTGTTTTTAGTGGGATAACGGCCCTGTTATGTTGGGCTACCACTTGGTGGGGGATGATTTTCTTCTTCAATTTGCCTATGAATGCCTCCATTCAGATTATGAATGGGATGGTAAGAACTTTTTAAAATAATATTACACTTCACAAGATGTGATTGCATGTAGATTAGGCTAAACATTTTCAAACAGCTTAATACTTTTTACATGTTCATTTCACTGCAAATGTGTCTTTCTTCTGGCAATCTTGCTGCTTCTTTTGTAATATTTTATTTTAACGATCAGTCACTGGGGGTCCCATTATGTAATGTAATTAGTGTCTCTTTCCGTGAGATCTTATTATCCTTGTGCTTGATGTCTTGCTCATGTGAAAGTGTTTGAAGTGGACAAATTCATATTTCTGTATCAATTTCTAGAATTTCTGTCATTGATTTGTTAAGGATGAACATCTTGCGAGATTGTGGTAACTTATTTTGATATTATATTCATGTAATTTAATGATGTAATATAAGAAAACTTTTTTATTGAATTATTTTAGTACCCTATTGTATAGAAAGAAAAACTGCTTTAACTAATGGTTGAATTAAATAATTGTGAATGATGAATTATCAAACAAATGCTTTGTAACTTCATATGATAAAACACACAATAAGCAATGAAATTGTAACTGTTAACAAGTGTAAAATTGAAATTTAAGATATATTAATGAATTTTAATTATGAGTCAATAAGTAAGAAGTTTATTTAAGAAAAAATACTTACAATAATAATAATAATAATAATAATAATAATAATAATAATAATAATAATAAATATTAATAATAATTATAATAATAAATATTAATAATAATTATAATAATAAATATTAATAATAATTATAATAATAAATATTAGCATTAGATAGTAATAATAATGTTGCGATGCTTTGTTTCAAACATTTCCTGATTTCAGACTCTGAAAGATTGACCTGTGGTATGTGTATATCAGGACAGACTATCCATGATTTTCATATGCAAGTGCAACATGAGGGGGTTATTCAACCCAAAATAATGTTGATGCTTGGTGCAGTGGATATTCTACAGGTTAGTTGTAGGTTGAATTTTGAAGTTGTTTAATTTACAGAGTTTACTCTCAAGCTTACTAAATCCAATGTTACAATGATGTTTGTTATTGGAGTAGATAGTATTCCTTCTTCAGAAACACATATCTGAAATAATTTAGCATGAGAATTATAGGAATTTATCTGGGACTTGAAATGTATGAACATATGGACTTGAAACATATGACCGTGACAAATGTATAAGTGGGAAACATATAAACTAGGTTTCATGGTAAATGCTTCAAATTATGCTTATACTTCATTGAAACATACTGTGGTATGGCAGAATAAGTGATTTCTGGACATTTAAACCATGTAGGTGTAAGAATAATTCATTAGATCAGCTTTCATAAGTTATATTCTTGTGATATGGTTGCTGCTGGGTGTTGCTGCTTCATTTGCTTTTTGACTTTGCAGAACCGCTCTTTACGATATATCATTGATGATATGACCGATCTGCTCGATGATCTTCTCATTTCTGGTGCTAAGACTGTTATGTTGTTGACCATTCCTTTCCTCAAGAATGCAGGTCGTTCAAATAGGAAAGTATTGGAATTCAATGAATTTCTGAAGACTCTTGATGATGGTATGTCTCTCTTCAATTTTGCATTCTTTACATTAGGGATTGATGTCACCAATTGTCAAGCATTTTTTTTATTGTTATAGGTGTTAAAGTGCAGGTCTTGGATGTGCATCCTCTTTTCTGCAGTTACTACCAGAATCAAACTTATGACAATTGCATGAACCCAAAATGCTATGAATTGTAAGTGTTTAATTAATATGAAAATGCATTGTCTGTGTAGAACTGACTGATGACTTTACTTCTCAAACACTTGTCAACTATATGACGAACAACGAAATGATTTTGGTTTAAATAATTTTTTAAGTGAAATGAACAAAGATACAATTGAAAAAGAAAGAAAGAAAAGTTAAAGTGCCATTTTTAGAGAAACTCACAAAAGCAATCAATAAGGAGGATTAAAAATCTGTAAATAACCACTTTTGCCGAGCACAACATAAAAAATGGATGAGTGTAATTTTGTGATACTGGGTAATTGCTTCAATGAGCATTTAAAGATATTTCTGACCTTGAGTGCTTGGGCAGTGTGGTTAGAATTGACATCAGTTTATAGGGAAAATATAAAAAACTATTATTAATTAATAATTAACATTTGTAAGAGTTCTTCTAGACATTTCTTCATTTTTAGAGGCACTAAATGAATGTTTCTTACATTATTTTCTTTTTTTTATAGACTTTTCAGATTTATAAGATTTTTTAAAAATATTTCTCCAGAAAATATTTTTTTTAGCTCATAATGTTATTCATATTAAAAATCTTTAAAATACTCTTAAAATGTTTAAAAATTGCCCTAAAAGCAAAGGAAAAGTACATAAAAAGGTTTTGTTTAAAACCAGTTAGATGGACAACTTGAGCTGTTGGATATGTTACTGATGTAATCAATGCTTCTTTCTTTTGTTTAAGTGAAGATTGCAAACTATTGGCTTGTTCTATAGTGAAAAGAAAAAAATGACATTTCATTACAATCTACTTCCTAGTATCAACTATTAATACAATATCTTCAGCGAAGGATATTTCCCCTGGTGGCAATTCATAAAATATATTATTCATATAAATTATAATTAATTTTGGTCATAAGATTGTACCTTGTGGTATACCACATTTTATTGAATATTATTCTTATTGTTACTATTATTATTATTAAGAAATTTCTGTAATTTCTTCACATTATCAGATATATTCTTTCTAATGTATTGGTAGTACAGTAAAACTTCTTTATAATGTTCCTTCATATATTTTCCTCTATAGAGGTGACCGAATTATTAGACTACATATAACTTCCCAGATTATAATGAGTTCTGAGAAGAACCTGACAAAAGTAAGTGTTTGAAGTGTCCTGTTTGTTAATGTTATTGGAAATGTATTCACAGTTGACAATGAGACAGGACCAAAACTTAGAGGCCCTAAATAACCAAGGGTTCTCTCACATAAATGATTTGTTTGGACAAAAACCAATGACTACGCTCCATATAACAAAAGCAAAGAAAGTTGGAAAACATCTTCAAGACATTGATCAGTCAGGGTTCCAATGGACTGCAAATATCCTTGACTTGAAGCCCATCAAAAATGTTTGTTCAATAGTTAAAAGAAACATAAGAATAGAAGGCCATGAAAACCAGCTCATAAAACAACTCATTCGCATCTCGCAAAATGACACTCAAATTGAAAGAATGAATTAAAAATAGTGTTTTCCTCTATACAGGGATACCTCTATACAGAATTCATGGTTCCTTAGAAAACATTATATACAAGTTTCACTGTATTTTTCTTTGGCTATTCTATTTAAATTTTGTAGTTTATTTTTATATTGAGTGTATTAAATTTAATTTGATCATAATGTTACTCTCCAAAAGTGGATTTTATCTGTTGATAATACTTGATCTGTGAATAGCATAGCTGTGTTGTAAAATAATTGTGAAGAATTTGAATTGTCTAATTATTGTATTGAATTTTGCTTTTCTTATTTTACATCAGTGAGTAAAGTTCCAACTCATCTATGTAAAACTCATCTCAAAATAACAGAAGGAAATTGCTTGATCTGATCTTCGATTATTTTCTTTTAAAGATGATAAATGTATTGTTTGTTCATTAATGGCCAGGATTTTAAGTGTTCTATTTTTTTTTTTTTTTTTTTTTTTTTTTTTTTTTTTTTTTTTTTTTTTTTTTTTTTTAATACAAGAAGGATTTATTTAACGTAGGTTACTAATTGATTTTTAAATTTTCGGTTAAAAAAATCTATTTTATTTCTAATCTTGAGTACTCTTTTTTATTAGATCAGCAAGAGATGTCCTCTGTTATCCAAACGGAGTGGTGTTGTGGAGTCACATTGGAAGGAGTTACCTTTACAACTTCCTTCTTCAACAGTTGACTGAACTGGAAAACACACATTGATCTGATAAGACTGAACATTATGAATCAGATGGTGTACCTGAAGAAAGGCAGAAGTACTTCATAGGTTTTTGTAATTTGGAGAATTATGTTTATACCTTATAATGCAATGTGATCAGTTTTTCAAGTAAAATGTATAATATTACTCAATTTTGCAGTTTCAAATTTCAACGTACCAAACCAACTTAAACAAAGGCAAAAGTTCCTACTTTATATGATTACCTAGATAAGATAATTTGTTCTTATTTAAGTAACCATTTACTTTTATGAAGTAAAAGACTGTTCTTTTTACTTTTATTGGCAAAGTTTTAAAACTTGAAGTGTGCTTTCATGTAATGAGTTTTTTGTAGTAATTTTAAGGACTTTTTACCTTGAAAGTTATAGTTTTTTATTATTTTTTTTTAAAACATGACTTGTTTTTATTTGAAAAGCTTCAAATAAAATATACATTGTTTGCTAAGTTGTTCTTATTTGTGGTGCATTTTTGTAAATGATTTGCTTCTGTGGCAAATGGAAGATGGCAGTGTCTGTGACTATTCTACTCGTGAAATTGAAACCAATAGTGTTTTAAGTATATATAAAAAAATTATAATCCAGGCAATGTATCTAAAAAAAAAAAATTGTCATTTTTCTATCCAATTTTTCGTACCCCTTCATACCACCCTCCCTTCCCCATTCTGGAAAAATAAACTGTGAGTGATCTATTTTAGGAAGCAGTATGAATCAATTGCTGTGTTGATGCAATAAATTGTGTATGTACTATATCATTACCTCTGATTTTAACATGCTTTTAGTAGTTGTAGGAAGACTTCGAAAAAAAATTTAACTTTTGCAATTTACGAAAAATGAGGATTTTCTACGAACATGAGACCAACCTCTTAAGTGCCCTTCACACTATCCAACAACAAAATTTAGCCATCTTTTGAAAATTTGGAATATGTCCCAGAGTCATATAAAGTACCCTCCAAAACTGAAATATCGGTTCCAAATTCAAGGGGCCGCCACATCAGCCAGATCGATTGGGGAATATCAATTTTTAGAGAAAAACTGCTGTATGGTTTAGCCGTTAGCGTTGTTTACGGACGTTTTACCGTCATTCGATTTTTCGCTATCAAAGAGTCACAACACTTGAATTCTGATTCCACCACATGATAGAGGACTTTTTTCTAAATGTATCAACTGGATTTTTCCAATTTTCCATTACCAGGGCCCTGTAATAAGAGTTTTTCTGCTGAAAACTCTCAGGTTTTTTTTCCACGCAGCTCTACATAACTTTTTCTATATTACTCCGTAGGGGAAAAGTAAGAACATGGAGCAGTTCTGCAGAAAATGTTGCTCAAGCGTTTTTAAAAATTCGGAATTTTGAGCTTACTTTTGAAGAAAAACTTAAGAGAAACGTCATGACATAATTTGAAAACTTGTATTCACAAATGAAATAATATATATTAATACAAAACGCCGATAATGTGAATATTAATGACAACAGATGTTTAAATAAAATTACATTTGTGTAATTTTGGAGGAAACAAATATACAGAAGATTACAGCACTTTTTGACAATATCTTGTTTTTATATAATGCTCATATTTCAGTCAAAATTACGCGAACATTTTTCGTATTTTAAAAATAGTTTTAAAAAAAGATATATTTTTGAAGAACATATTTTATTCAGAGGAAAATCTATCATAAGTACCAAAATTGTAGGTACCAATTAAAATATTTTAAACTTTTGCAATTTTCAAAATTTATGATATTTCAACAAAACTGAAACCTGCAACAGTTTTGTAAGCGTCCTTTACGATCTCTGAGGACAAACTTCAATTGGAAATTTAGAAGTCATTTTCAGAAAAACTTGAAATTGTCGATGTAAAGTACCCCTCAAATTAAAACAAATCGGTATCAGGTAGATCAATTGGAGAATATCAGTTTTGGTGAAAATTCTGTTCACTGTTCAGCAGTTAGCGTTGTTTAGATTTAGATTTATAATACCCTTACTATGAGGCTAGAGGGGGGTATTGTTCACGGATGGACATGTTTTGTCGTGAATTTTTCGGTATCAAGGATCCGCAAAACCTGGATTCTGAGTACAGGTGTGTTAGCGTACGTAATTTGCTACATTTAGGAACAGGAATTAACCATTTTTCGGTGTAAGGGATCTGCAATACAATTTTTTGCCGAAAAATAATCGTTCGATTGCAGCATTACATAACTTTCCTGATACTATATATGTAGCATGAGAAAATAAATACATAGTGATAAAATCAAAGCTTCCATTAATTTTTGAAAAATGGATGTGATATGCTGAGTACATAAGTTATATATTGGCAAAATATATCCTCTTTAGAAATTGAATATCCAGAAGGAAAGCCAACAAATGCTTTATACTTAGATATGGAAGAAACTTAATATGCCAACAAAAATACTCACACTAGCTAGAGAGGTATTTATTAATATTAAGCAATTAAGCCAATTTTACTCATTTCAACAGACTACAGTCTCACGTACTACTTACATAGTATAGAGTAAGCATTGTAATGCTGCTTCAAAAAACGGCGATTTTTCCACCCCCCCCCCCCCCTCCCCCGAAGGCTTATATTGAGAAAGTGGATAAATCTTGTTCCACTGGGTCGTAAATTAGCTCTTCGATCACGTGGGGAACTCAAGGCCCTGCGTGTTTGATATGGATATTTTGATTTTTAGGGGCACTTTACATGTAGCCTTAAAATTTTGAATTTATTTTAAATGGCTCAACATTTTTGAATTACAAATTTTCGTCGTGGATGAAGCAAAGAAGTCAAAAATGGCGCTGGTCTCGTTTTCGTTAAACTTCGAATTTCCAAAAATTGCAAAAGTTTAAAACATTGTCAGCATCTTTCTACAACCATAATATTGAAGACGGAAGTTTTTTATTCCTTAATTAAATGTGTTATTAAAATACACTTAAATACATTACACAATTTTCATTACATACGAGTTGTTTTCACTTACTTTTGCAGGAAATATAGGTAATTAACAAATTATCTTCCCAAAAACCATTTTCATTATTTACCCCCCCCTCTCAAATTTTTAAAATCATTGGACAAATGGAGAATAAATTCTCAGCAGGCATGGACAACATTCCAGATTAATATCTTAATAAACACAGCTGCTCCAATGTTATAGTGACACCAACTTCTCCACATCTGCCCAATTACTCTCTAAAATCAGGCAGTATTCCCAGCATATATCCAAACAGCAAAAAATGTAAACCATTGTTTAAAAAGGCCATTGTTATGATCCATTGAACTACAGACCATCTTCCCTGTTATCAGAGGTATTTTCAAAAATTCTGGAACAGGCTTATTCAATGATTGACTCAAAACAGTATTCTCAATGCAATAATACGGATGTCTTACAAGATTAGCACACATGGCTGACAAGGAGATAATAGAATCCATAGACCAGCCATCTATCTCAACTTTTTAAATGAACATTACCGTGTTGCACTAATCAGAAGGAAGAATAAAATGGCCATTTTCTTAGATTGATCCACAAAAGCCTATGTGACATCATTGACCATCATAACTTCTTAAGAAAACGGAAAAGCTTTGGGAATTCAATAGCATTGCAGCCACATTGGGTCAAAATCATATTTATCAAACCAAATAGCGCACAATAGTGCCATCCAACACACTAAAAAACAAATCTCCTAAAGCATATACCTCCTGTCCTCAAACAAAATTGTGAGGTCCCTGCAAGATCCATCCTGGGGCCAATTACTATTCCTAAATATATACATAAATGACATGCCTTTGCACTTTAATGAACAACAAAATAATTTTGGTTGCAATGACACAGACATTATCATAAGCAAAAACACAACAATGATTAGAAAAAAGAACTCGCAAGAACTGGTGGTGCAAGCACTAGTAAGAATGGTTTCAAGACAACGAAGCTCGTTCATAAACACCACACAAGACAGTCTTCTCTACGAAATTATCATGAATCCCTCGATCTAAAAGAAACATCTCACCAGCCATTGCTCATAAACGCGATAACCATTAACCAAGTACCCATCAGATTAAACTAACCTTCCTCGACTAACAATTCCAAGAAACACCTGAAAGTGGAACACATCACATCACAAATTAAACAAGAAGCTCAGCAAATCTGCTATTGCCGTATACACCCTCAGGAACAATCCAAACATATGAAACACTTCGAACAATGATATATTTGCAAATGTGCACTCACACCTAAAATATGGAATAATATTCTGGGGAAATGCCCCTGAAAGTACTCGCACATTTATTATCCAAAAAAGAATATTGTGAACAATGACCAGCACTCATAAGCTGGAGCCTTCCAAACCCTTGTTTAATAAACTAAGGATTCTTCCTCTACCATGCATGTTTATATTTGAAATGGTGGTCTTCACAAAGAAAATTCTCGTGGAAAACAAAGACACTTTTACTTTAAATTCTGATGTACACAACTGCATCACCCGTCAAAAGGATAACCTACATGTTCCCCACTCTGAAACTACACTTTATCAAAAACATACCCTAATAGAGGGCATTACACTTTACAACAAACTGGGCAATGATATCAAAGACATAAACACAATTCATATATTTAGAAGTAGATTGAAAGCTTTCCTGCTTAACAACATGTTCTACAATCTAAAGGAATTTTCAAATTACATTTCCCTTAAAAAATATAAATAAATAATTTGTTTTCCCATTAGACTTTCTGTTCCATGTAAACTGTTTCAAGCTTAAGCAAAGAAAAAAGAACTGGCATCCTGTAAAATAGAAGGAGAATGACTCACAAAAAAAAAAAAAAAAAAAAATTATATGTAGTAGCATTAAAATAACATCCTGAAATGTTAATTATTAGTAGATAATTTATCTACTGTATAATATCTTAATCCAACAGTAACAAGTATTGTATTACTATGCCAATGACCCCATCTCGATCAGGTTTTGTTCAGTTTCCTTGGTCCTGTGAGCAAATGCTGAGATGACCCCTTGTTTGCTCCTGAACAGTAATGTAACTTCGCTCTCTCCACCCAAGGCATCATATTGACTCATCATACACTATTGTAACTGTATATGTGACTCAATAAATATTAATATTATTATTATTATTGCCAGGCGGAAAAAACCTTCAAAAGGCGAAGAACGGGACCGGTTGCTTAACAGTGTGGGATTACCTCTTGCTAGGCGACCTCACTAACAACAACCACCTGTTTCTTCTTCTGACCTCAGCCTGGGACCGCTTTCGCATTACTTCAGGCTGGGGCCTTTCTTGATGGGTGCCTCTTCGTTTGTTCCGTCCTTGTACGCTATCGCTTAGACAGCCTTCTTCCTTCTTTGCCCGCAGAACGCTTTCTATGAAGTGGGAAATTGCGTTCCAGGACCTCTCATTTCTTAGCATTGTGTCAACAATATTCTCTGGCGTGAGACTGCCTGTCGTTTCCTCCAGTTTATCTAGTTTTTCTTTCCGGGTTGTACACTGGAAAAAGGTGTGCTCGGCGGTGTCCAATTGATTTCAGCAGTGTGTCCACCTCCCTTGATTGAATCCTCCCCATGCGGTAGAGATAGTCCCTGAAGTAGCCGTGTCCTGTCAGGAACTGGGAGAGGTAGAAGTTCACTTCCCCAAACTCCCGTTGCACCCATAGCGGCAACTTTTTAATAAGCCGGTGTGTCCCCCTCCCTTTGGTCCCATCGTTCCCTGCCAGCGCTCCTCTTGTGCCGCTTTCGCTCTGCCGTCGCCTGCGCTCCTGTCATATGTTCGCTTGCGCTCCAGCGCGAGCAGGTCGATCGGTATTGCTCCGGCGATCACAAGGATGGCGTCTTCGGAGACTGTTCGGTAAGAGCATGCCACCCTCAGTGCCCCCCGACGCTGAACAGCTGTGATCCGTGTTCTGTATTTTTTCACAGTCATCGCTTCGGCCCACACTTCAGCTCCGTACAATAGCATTGACTGTACTGTCGACATCAGCAGTCTCCTTTTGTTCGGCCGTGGGCCGTCTACATTGGCCATCAACCTGCTCAGTGCTGCGGTTGTGGTTGCAGCTTTGTCGGTCCAGGGTTACCCCCAGATACTTTGTGAACGGTTTCGTTAGTATTCTTTCTCTTCCCTCTTGTAAGGGTAATATGGTGGGGATTATTTTCCTGGTTAGTACCACGATCTCCGTTTTTGCGGGTGCCAACTGCAGACCGTGGCCTTCCATCCATTCACTGACTCGCCTCATCACCTGGTTTAGTCTTAGTTGGGCTAGCTCAACCCTACGGACTTCTCTGACGGCCGCTGTGTCGTCTGCTTATACGACCAGGAGAGTGCCTTCCGGCATCTCTGTCCTTAGCAGACTGTCGTATACTGCGTTCCAGAAATCT